AATCGCTAAAAATACAAATTTTTTTTCACAAAGTTACATTTTAAAGTAACCCTTGTATTTTTCTCATATATGGTCGGCATTACCCGATGTGTATCATTGGCAGGCCAAATTTTAGCAAGTCCGTGCATGCCGTCAAACTTTGCAATTTTCAGTATAGCAAACATGCTCTCAAATTTAAAAGTTCATAGTAGCAGGGATGCATTAAATTTAAAATCAACCTATAGTACCTTAAAGTAGAGATTTTATTTGAATAAAAGTTCAGCATCATACGATAAATTTTCGCGGAGTTATCGTTAACCAAAGTTGACCAATTTTTGCCCAAAATTTTTCTATGCCATAATTTTTTTGAGCAGTGTATAACATAAATTAAACCTTCAAATGGTACAATAGTGCGAATTCGCACCGCGAAATTTTTCGAATTGTTGACATTTGCACAAAGATATCTGTCGCGGCTATTCGCCAGCTAGTTGTGGCACCTGCAGTGTTCCATTATAGTGGGTGCTCGAAAGAAGTGTACCATTTGAAGGTTAAAGAAATTTCAATATTGCAATAGATGTAAAAATACTCTTAAAATACATTTTATTTACTTCCATCTTGATACTCGTGAATCGTCTTCAAGAAATCATCTCATTATAACACAAATGAAGAATCTTATAATACTGCGCCTTTTATCTTGTATGTCAACCTTTTTAGCCCGCGAGCCATTTTGGAGATTCTAAATCCATGATGTGCCACTGTGTTGGAAGACTTGTTAGTAAAAAAAGTCTTTGCAATGAAATACACTGGTCCAAAAAATTAAAGGATCACCTGTTCTAGCCTCCAAAAATAGGCAAAATTCAAGAGAGTGTAACTTCGTCAAAAATGATCGTACCGAGATGATCAAAAAAGCATTTTACAGCTTGAAATCTCTACTTTCCAAATCGATACTTAAGAAAACGATCCTACTGGTCGTTCATGGAATTACACGGATAAAAAAGGAGACTCGAATCTCAAAATTTTTTACAAAATTTGACAAGTTCCATGGCGCGAATAAAAAGTCGCATGCAAATGCAGTTTACTGCTTTCGAAAGAGTGACTGAGTCGACAAGGCACACAGGGGATA